TCATCTGGGGGAAGATGAAGTATCTCACTCTGGTCCTCTGCTGCTCCCTTCTCGCTAACCTCCTCCCCATCACTCTGATCTGTAATTGTGACTACTTTGCTCATGGGACAACTGAAGACAATTTGACTGTAGCTGTGACATCTGTAATACTTACTGGCTGACATAGCGTTGGAGGAGCTACCCTTCTCATGCTTCTTCTCACGTTGATCTAGAATGCCAATCCCTTGCCTGATCTTGACGGTGTTTCCTAGGTTACTTTTGTCGGTCGTTGTAACTGTAGGAGGTTGCCTGTCTGACGGTTGCTGCCTGAAGGATGGTTGTTGTCTGCTCTGTTCCTGCCGCCTCTCCACCTTCAGGGCTAGTGTCTGAACATCTCTAAGTGACGAATAAGGTTGCAGTTGCTTTACATCATTGATAGCTGGCTTTAAGCCCTTCAGATAAAGGGCTATGTTGTACTCCTCTGGCTCAGTCAGATCACACCTCATCTGCAATTGATCAAACTGCTTTGTGAACTCCTGTAATGACAAATCCCTCTGCTGCAGGTGGCGAGTCTCAAAAACCTATCTTGGTGATGATGGAGTGGGAAGTATTTCTTTTGCAACGCTTTTGTCATCTTTTCCCACCTGGTAATCTTATCGCTGACTTCCCTTTTCCTCTGTCGATGTAAGTTCTCCAACCACAAGGAGACATTTTTTTTCAATTTGATAACAACTAATTTGACCCTCCTATCCTCTGGCACATCATTATACTCGAAGATCCGTTCAACAAATTGCAACCGATCAATGAAGTGTTCAAGATCATACCTCCCTCAAATTCTGGTGGATCAACTTTGCTGTCGAAGTCTCCGTTTCCTCCAAATAATATCTTCTCTCTATTAGTCTCCCTCTGAGGGGGATTCAAATATCCCTCTCTAGGCCTCATCTGATATTGGATTCTGAAGGGCAATGTCCTATCTTCTTGATTGCTAAAATTTTCTCTTTGGATGATATTAGATCCCCATCTCTTTCTTATCTTCGACTCTTCTGATCTAGGTCGAAGGGAAGTTTTTCCTGTGTTAATTCTTCAATCTCTGCAAAACTTTGCTGAAGGTGGTAGAGCTCCCACCTTATTCTTTTTGGGTGGGCTCGGGCATATATATTCTGGGTGGTTTGGCTAGGTTTTAGTAATAAGAAAAAATTTTTTGGGGGAGATAGAGTTTGGGGAAATTAGAAGAGGTGGGTGAGGGTAGGAATGAAAAATTTTGGTTAAGGGGTAAGACGCACATCATAAAATCTTAAAACAGGACTAGAGTTAGGCTAGTTTTGATACCAAATGATACATGAACTAGTAGGAAAGAACAGTGAGAGCAAAAAAACAAACCTTTATTAATATTGAAATGAGGATTACAACTCGACACAAATGAAAAGGGAAAATACAATAACAAAACAATCTCTGACTAGGGTAGAAAGTGAAGATCTGAGTTCAGAGTGGCACCGACTAGAGGGTGAGTGTATATGAAACAATGCTAGTTGCAATGCCGGTTAGGAAGGGTTCAGAGGTAATTTGGGAGGTCTGTAGAGGAGTTGGGACAGAGGAGTGGCTGGACTGTCAGATCTATTGCAGAAAAGTGGCTGTTGCTGTTAGATGATTGTTGGGGAGTGGAACAACAACGTTATGCTGCTGTTGGAAGGATTTTTGGGTGTTGGAATGGGGAAAAGGGTAGGTCTGTGGCTGGGAAGAGGGGAGAAGAAGGAGAAGGGAAGATAAATCATTACCTCGAAGTAGGATACAACAAAAGCACCACCACCTCCTCGAATACAATCATAAAAAAGGAAAAAGACTCCACAATGGAAATGTGAAAGCAAGCACAGCCAAGACAAACTCTAACTCTCACTAACAAGCATATAAATAGACTAAAACAAGAAAGAACAGAAAAAAGGAGAAGGGTTGGCGGCATTGCCGTCCTTCCTAAATTGATGCTAGATTGAACAGGAAACCAGGAAGAAAGGAAATCCCACTCGTGTTCTGCTGCAACCCGAATCAGGACACCAGGAAGAAAGGAAATCCCACTCGAGTCCTGCTGCAACCCGAATCGGTCGCCTCAGTGGTGCTTGGATCGGCTCTCTTATGCAGCTGGTTCTGCCGCTGACTTGTTTCCTGCCTCTGTGCGAGAAACGCCCGCTTCAAATATCATATATCATATATATTTCGTGCGCCACAATCAAAACACATGAGTAGAACTATAATATGTCAATCAGTAATTATTCACAATTATGAATTTGCAACAATGTGATTTAACACATCAAGATTATGAAAGAAATAATAAATGTTGGAAATTTGAGACATAAGAAATTAATGGAGAATTTATATAATAATAAATAAGACTAATTAATTATGCAACTCATTATGAACAATAAAGAAAATATATTGCAATTATATTTACATAATTTAAAATATATGACTAACAAACCTACTGATACCAGGGTTAACCCAAACAATGACACAGACGCGACTAATTTTATTGTAGAACTTTAAAATGAGTACAGTAGTGACTCAACACAAACATTAACACATAAACAACAAGAAAAGAGCACATAAATAGTAAAAGAAATAATGAATGCAGAAATAGACTCAGCATAAGGTAGAAAAAACCATGGAATGCGGTGAATCTTGCGCGACAACCCCGTATGGTAGTTAGAAATCTGCTAGAGTGGAGCTAAAAAGACCTGGCGATTGCCAGTCGAGCGTCGATGGAGGCAGACTTGGGGGGCTGACTGAAGAGAGTGTAGAAGCTGCGCAACGAAGGTTGGATGGAGTATTGGAGGGGCTGTGGTCTTTCGGAGTGACTGAGAGGTACAACTTTGTTGGAACATGGCATAGAAGGGTCGGCGCGATAGCTTGGAAGAGCAGTGGAGACGTGGCAGTTGAGGAAGCTTGGAGAGGTTGTGTGGTCCGTCTGTATGGATGGAGGGAATCTGAAGCGGGAGAGGGGCCGAACGACCAACTGGAGGACTGAGACTTGTTGGACGGAGTTGGGAGGGTGGCAGCGATAGAGGATGACGCCGAGAGAAGGGAACGAAGCGGAGATACATACTACCTTGGTGGGATACAACCATAACACCACGCCACCGAAGGATACAACCCTCGAAAAGAGAGAAACACCGTTAACAATACCTGAAATCAGAATACCAACAGCTGCTTAGGACCTAAGCAAAACATGTATAAAAAGAGAGAAGGCTAGCAGCTAGCCATGTAAGATCTGAGAAAGGAAGGGAGAAAATGGCAAGAAATTGAAGAGGGCGATGCAACATCTAGGAGGTGGTGGAAGAATAGGGCACGGGAGGAGTCAATCACGGAAGATCAGTCAGGGGGAATCACAAGCTTTTAATACAATTGGGCCGGTCCCGGTTCAATAGGAGGGCTGGACCGGCTCCCTTGTCATGCCCGGCCGATGGTAGTGAGTAGCCCCGCATCACCTACATTGAGTTAGGAATCTAATTCAAATAGCAAAGATAATGTCATTAATTAAGAATGGTATGTTTATCCCATAATAAAAAACAATTACTTACCTCGGGGCAAGCTCTAAACTCCAAATTTATCAGCTCAATCGACATTGGCTAGCAAATCCTATACAAATCAAAATTCATAAAATTTAACAGCTATGCAATTAAAGGTATCAAGGTTAATTATTTATTACGTAGATGTAGGTAATTAATCTTATGAGTTTACTAAGCAAAGTGGAAGTAATAAAAATAAAATTGGATACAACACCATGGAAAAAAGAAAAGTAGAAAGTAATGAGGGAAATTCACCCTCGGTCTTGGCTACGATGGTAAGTTATTCGACTACTATGGATGGGGCTGCGAAGTTGCGAAAAGTAGTTGAGGGAAGCGGCGACTGAAAGGCTTTAGGAAGAATATAGGAGGCGAGATTGGAAAGGTCCGTTGACTGTAGGAAAGATGATTGTTGGCTGAAAGGAAGAGTTTTGCAATGCCATAGCCTTCAACTCCCTTTTATAATTGCAACGAAGCGGTCGTAGCGAGGGAGAAATGGAAAAGTCGCACGATATATATATATATATATATATATAATATTGCATTTCAAACTATCATATAAAAAAAAATTGCAATTTGCTTGGAGAGGTGTCGTGGTCTGAGATATTATGTTAAATGCAATGTTATATATATGTTGTGCATTTCACACTGAGATATGTTTGTACATCATATAGCATGTTGAATGCAATTTGCACATTAACTATTTTTCTGCAAATAAAGCTGATTAATTTATACAACTCCTTTAAGTCAATCACTGAGTTTTTCCTTTTCTTACTCAAGCAAATCACTGGAATATGTTTTTCCTTTTTTACTCAAGAAAAATATAAATTACCAAACGCTAACTAAATTTAAAAGAAAACTAAACAAAAACAAATAACAAAAACAATATCATAACAGTGACAGCTAAAATAAAAAGATACCAAAAATGTTCTTGTGCTTTCTAAAATTTCAAATGTGAAATATTTTTTGTGAAAATAATGTGATATTTTTTTCCGCAGTTCCTCTAAAGCTTATAGCGTTTCATAGAACTCGACTCAATTACGTATGTGTCAACGTAAAAAAACAATAGCAGGTCAAGTGAATACAGGAGAAATCAGGCATTCCAATGCACTGTATTTCACTTTCTTATAGGATGATTTACATAAATACCACTCAATTTTTATGTATTTACATATCTAGAACCTAAACTTCAATTTTTACATACATGCCGCCTTCACTATGCATGAAAAGGTTTATTCACTTTTTAAAAGCTGAAATGATGGCATTTTGATGTAATATGAAAGATTTGGGTGGTATTAATATAAGAAGTAAAGTTTAGATGCTAGATATGTATATACTTAAGAATTGTGTGGAATTTAATTAAATGCCCCTTTCTTATGGCTAATGCATTGAATTTTCGGACTAGCAAAGTATTGATCTCTAGTTTGAATTAAATTCTATTTACTCATTGAACTTTCATTGGTTTAGTCATGCCTCAAATAACACGTTGGACGGGTTAAACCACTTTGACGGGACCGACACTCACTATTTTCACCCCGGCTCACGTGGTTATCATTGGATGTGGGATTCTCGTCTTTTCAACTACGGAAATTGGGAGGTATTGTATATCATCATAAACTACATTTAAACTGCTGTGCGAGTCAGCAATTTATTCAGACTTTTTCCCCGTTCTTTTGGGAAGATTTACTTACCTATCACTCAATTCTTATGTATTTATATATTTAATGCCCAAATTTCAATTTTTACATATACATGTCACCCTTTTCTATGCATGAAAGAAGTGTTTCACTTTTTAAAAATCAAAATAGTGGTAATTTTTATGTGATATGAAAGATTTGGGTGGTGTAAATGTAAAAATAAAACTTTCAGTGTTAGACATGTAAATACACAAGAATTGGGTGGTGGAATGTAAATGTCACTTTTCTCTTCCATGAACTTTCAGTGCCACTCTACTTTCTTCTAGGTGCTAAGGTTTCTACTCTCAAATGCAAGGTGGTGGTTGGAGGAGTACAAATTTGATGGCTTCAGATTTGATGGTGTGACATCAATGATGTATACTCATCGTGGTTTGCAGGTTAACAGACTATCTTAACGATAGGAGCATTGCTATTTCTTTGGAATTTTGTTTTTTCCTTTCTGAGTTTCTATTGTATGATCCTTCTAATTGGTTTTCTGGATGAAATATAAGCTTTGCTTCTTTTCTGTAAGCACTAGCAGGGTAAAAAACTATAAAACGGGAAAGTGTCAGAATGGTTCCCTGATTTTCTTTTTAATAGGGGCTAACATAGTTCTCCCTGGAGCTGTTTTAACTTACTTTTAAAAGTTAACAGACTATCTTAACGATAGGAGCATTGCTATTTCTTTGGAATTTTGTTTTTTCCTTTCTGAGTTTCTATTGTATGATCCTTCTAATTGGTTTTCTGGATGAAATATAAGCTTTGCTTCTTTTCTGTAAGCACTAGCAGGGTAAAAAACTATAAAACGGGAAAGTGTCAGAATGGTTCCCTGATTTTCTTTTTAATAGGGGCTAACATAGTTCTCCCTGGAGACTGTTTTGACTTATTTTTAAAAAATCTTGTGTTACTTTGACATTTGTATGGACCCTTGGACTTAAATGATCTCATGTAAATAGTCAATGGACTATTTTGAGACTTTACTCTTACATGAAATAAGGGCAGTTTATTTAATAGCATATGCATTTTTTTTGCCAGTTGTTTGACAACTTGCTAGTATCTGCCACAAGCATATCATTGATGTTTCAGTGTTTGATTCTTGGGGCATTTACATACATAGCACACAATCTTATGTTTTATGTATCTCACACCTAAACTTTCATGTTTACACGCATAGCACTGAACTGAAATACACATCAAAATACACATCAAAATAGAACTATTGTCACTTTTAGGAAGTGAAATATTTTCTTTCATGCATATGTTTAAAGCACCAAAATGTTATGTATGCATATATGTAAGTTTAGGCGTGAGATATATAAATAGATAAGAATTGCGTGCTGGTTATGTAAATTTACCTTGGTTTTTTGGGCTTAATCTCTATTTTTCCATACTTTATTTCAGGTGAGTTTTACTGGAAACTACGATGAGTATTTTGGTTTGGCAACAGATACCGATGCGGTAGTTTATTTGATGCTAGTTAATGATCTTATTCATAGACTATACCCGGAGGCTGTCACCATTGGCGAAGATGTGAGTATAGTTTATTTTCATTTCTCTGCTTTCTTTGATATCTGATATGTGGTAGTATTCTAAGATGCTTTGGCTTTCAGTCCTTTTTTTTTTAATTCTTAGTTTCAACATTGTTGTTCCGTGTTGTTGAGCACGGAACACATGAATTCCCATTTTTTCTCGTGTTGTTTGTGACGTCTACCTCCTTGTTGATGGATGTGAATGTATCTAAATATTTTAATACTTCAACGGCATGGACTAAGTAAATTTGAACTAATCCCAATCCATAGCAATTTGCTCAAATTAACATGAATTTATTCGAGTCAGTATAAAGCTGCACAGACAATAAGCTTGCTTCAATAGTGAACTCACCAAATTCAAGGTGAATTTGATAGTCTAAATAAGTTTGTCAAAGTTAAAGCTTGCTTATTTTAGATTAGGCATAGTTGCTCTAACTTGGCTACTACTCCCCAAGCTAGTGACTTCATCCAAGAATATCATATATTTACTCTTAAGTAAGTTGATTATGAGTCCAAGTATAGTTCTAGTACAATCAAGCTACATGCCTCATATTGATGTTGTGTGTCCTACCGACATGGATTGGATAAAATATAAGGTTAATTTAGCATACTTCAACAACAACATTATAATAACTGGATAAAATATAAATAAATGAATAAATAAATAATATAATATCAAATGGTGGAAATGGTTCGATGAATTTTCACGAAAGCCAAGTTCGTCTCTAAGAGTCGAAGAACCAAATTGATCTCTTCGTTTGTAACAGACCGAGAGGGAGATAGAGAGACAGAGAGGAAGGAGATGAGTGGAAGCGAGGGCTTATAGGCTTCTTATGGGTTCCTATCTGTAGAGGAGACGATGTTGCGGCTTTCAAGTAGAAGTCGAACGAGGGAGGTTCGTGCATTATTTCCCTATCATGCAAAGCCTGCTAGGCTCGATCGGCCTTGAGCTGTGTAAAAGGGAGATCTGCTCTTCGTTAACATTGAAGTCGAGCTCCGAGCCTAGCAGGGAAGTGAGGAAGAGGTGCATGCGTGATATGTGTGGTGTGCCTTGTGTACAGGAAAAAGAGGCCGGCAATCTGAGCCCTAGCGAGCATGTAAGGAAGTCAACGACTTGCTGTTGGGCACGAAGGTCCCCTTTTAGTTTTTCGGGTTCGTCGGAGGTGTGACTTTGTTATGCATGAAGAAGAAGTGTCGAGCAGAGAAACAAAAAGAGGAGGATCCAGCGCGTGTTTATGCGTGGGTGAGAAGGGGTGCCAAACATGGCTTTCTAAGACAAGGGATTTAAATAATAGTAATTTATGAATTTAATATATTGTTAATTATTGATTATTAATAGTAAGATTTAATTAAATCAAGATTCAAGCAATCAAACTCCATATTTGGATCACATAGAGGGTGATGACAACGAAGAAAAGTTAAGGTGAGTTAAGATTTTAACATATTACTTATCAATTTAATATATATGTCTAACTATTAATATTTTAATAGTATTTTTTAATTAAATCAGAATTTTGATAATATAATCAAGAGAGGTAATTGGGGAAGGAACAAACAAATAAAATTAATTGTGGTAAGTTTTATTTATGTCTTTTATTTTAGAAGATATATTAATATTTAAAATAGCGTGAAATTGTAAAATACTTTAGAATTTTGTTTAAGAGAAATCATGAAGTGATAAAATATTATGTTGTCTTTTTAGACACTAAATATAGAGCATCAAGGTTTATTTGGCTATAAGAATTATTAAAAAGAGTTTCATGGTACTTATACTTTTAAATTATAGTAATATTGTTTTCTTGTATTTTTGATTCACTCTATGACTTGCTTAGATATATTTTATTGGCACTTCAATTTCATTTTAATCATATCGAGTGTATGTCACTAATATTTGCATGTTATTTAAATGCATAGTTTAGGTTATTTAATTATATGATAAGAACGTGATTTATTATTTTGATTTCTTGCATGTGCATGTTTGGCAATGATGGAACACCCCTTTATGATACTAGCCGAAGAACGCTACAGTACCTGTGCACGTAAATAAAAAATAACATTGATATTTAAGTACCTTAAATGACACAATTTTTAGAGGGCTCTCATGCGACAGATGTATACAGATTAAAAATTTATTGATATGTAAACGATATAGTAAGATATAGTGACAATTTACAATCATTTTGAACGTTCATGTTATATAGTACAAAACGTCAAATGCTCTTATATTTTAACACAATTTAATTGACATGCTTATTGTCTTTCTTTCATTGAATTACTATAGTTTTAAAGTATGGGTATTCACTAGTTTTGTTAAATTTACTATTGTTTTATCTAACCATTTAGGTTTAATTAATTTATTAAATGATGAGTGATAAACGAAAAAATATTTATAGATGATGGGGGAAACCAGAAATGAGATATAATTTAGTTGGATTGTGGTTCTTCCATTTGTCAAATATTAGTTATATAAAATGATTATAAAAAAGTTTTAATTTCCACCATGTGACTAAAATTGTGTGATTATAGTAAAATTGAAATTTAAATTAACACTAATTAAATAATTATTTTAATTAAGGGAAATGGATGTACCCCAGATTTAGGAAGAGGGGAATGAGGTAGAAAATGAAGTATCGCTTGTTGTTAATGTCAATAATAATATCTTGACCTAGATGGTTGCAACGATGACTCATCTGATTCAAGGGTTCAAATCACAGCACAATGGAAGTAATATTATTATTGTGGATAAATATTTGATGATATTTTAATATCTGTGCCAACCTTTATTCAAGGCAACTAAGGATCTGATTGAAGCGGAGAGTAGGCTAATGAGGATAGAGAAGATATTAGATAGCATGTCATGCCTTGACGAAAGAACAATACATTTAGCTACATTTGTGCTGGATGGAAAAGCCGAAATGTGGTGGCGTGGGCATCATCAAGACAGGTTAGTGGACATACCCAACATGATAATAAATTGGGAGGAGTTCATGAAGCTTTTTAGGGAGTGGTTTGTACCCAACAACTAGATGGTTGCGATGATGACTCATCTGCTTCAAGAGTTTAGATCGCAGCATAATGAAAACAATATTAATATTGTGGATAAATATTTGAAGAAATTTCAAGATCTGCGCCTACCTTTATTCAAGGGAACTAAAGATCTGATTGAAGTGGAGAGTAGGCTAATGAGGATAGAGAAGATATTAGATAGCATGTCGTGCCTTGACGAAAGAACATTACATTTAGCTACATTTGTGCTAGATGGAAAAGCAGAAATGTGGTGGCGTGGGCAGCATCAAGACAGGTTAGAGGACATACCCAACATGATGATAAGTTGACAGGAGTTCATGGAGTTCTTTAGGGAGTGATTTGTTCCCCTATCCGCTCGAAGACGGACAAATTCATCGTTGGTGTAATTAGAGGAGAAGTCAGTTATGCAATATAGAGTAGAGTTTAGCTACGGCATAAGTAAAGTGTTATAGATTTTTTTTGAGATTAAAGGATTCAATCAGACAGTCGTTGGTGTCTTTGGACATTGATGACGATTTATTGTTAATGGAGGAGGCTAAACGAGTTGAGATTGATTCCTTGTTTATTCAGAAGCGTAAGGAGACAAACAAGAGGAAGAGTGTCGATGAAGGAGAGCCCAAGTGAAAATGTGAAGAAGCCCAAGTTCATTTCTGATAGTTTCAGTGGTGGCGGTTCTCGTAGTACCGTAGTCACTTATGTCAAATATGGAAAACGACATAAGGGTGAATGTTTTAGGGGCTCTCATACATGCTACTGGTGTTGTCAGTTTGGTCACAGCCAAATATTGTCCTTTACTTGGCCAAAAAACATTTGAAGAACAAAAATCAGTTGAAACTTCTTCACAGAAGACTGCAGGTGAGTAGAGAAGGATAGAGTCATAAACTTCAGCTCCTACTAAAGTTCAATCAAAGTAGCAAGTTCGATCTTGAGTTTATTCTCTTGCTTGTAGATAGCATGAAGACCCACTGTTGATGTTGATTTTATCAAGCATTGATGAGTTTATTGTTTTATCGTATGTTATTTGAGTGTCATTCTAATGTGTCTTTATCAAGGGATGTGTGTTATTGTGATGTTTCCTTGCTTCAGGCGTGATAATACTTTATTTTTAATTGATCAGAGAAGTTTAGTTATGTTATTTTTATATTAAACATTTATTTTATTGTATGCACTTTACATTTTAAAGAATGAGATATAAACTTCTAATGAAAATTTATTGATGATTCATGTGTTTTTTACAATGATTATAACTTGGTTGCAAATATTGATGATGAAATTTTTATAAGAAAAGATTATAATAACTGGATAAAAACAAATAGTAGATATTGCAAATATTGATGATGAAATTTTAATAAGAAAAGATTATAATAACTGGATAAAAACAAATAAATAATTAATTAATTGAAATGGTGACAAATGTTCGGTGAATTGTCATGACAGGCATGTTCATCTATAAGAGTGGAAGGACTGAATCGATCTCTTCGTTCGTCACAAATCGCGAGAGAGAGAGAGAGAGAAAGAGAGAGGAGTGGAGTCTAGGGCTTACATGCTTCCTACGGGTTCCGATCTGTAGAGGCAACATTACGACTTGGAAGTAGAAGTCGAACGAAGAAGGTTTGTACAGTTTTTCCTCATCGTGCAAAGCCTATCAGGCTTAATCGGTCTCGAATGGTGGAAAAGGGAGATTAGCTCTTCGTTAACATTGAAGTTGAGCCCAAGCGAAGCAAGGAAGTGAGGAAGAGGTGTGTGTGTGTTATGTGTGGCGCGCCTTGTGTACAGAAAGAAGAGGTCGACAATCTGACCCCTAGCGAGGAGGCGAGGAAGTCAACGACATCGTTTTCAGGCAAGAAGGTCCCTTTGAGTTTTTCAATTTCGTTGAATTGGTGACTTTGTTATGCACGAAGTATAAGTATCGAGCAGAGAAAAGGGGAGAGGAGGATCCGGTGCGTGCTTACGCGCGAGCGAGAAGGGAAGGTCAAACATGGCTTTTTAAGATGAGGGATTTAAATAATAGTAATTTATGAATTTAATATATTTTTTATTTTTATTTATTAATAGTAAGGCTTAATAAAATTCGAATTCAAACAATTGAAACTTCAGATTTTGATCGAGAAGAGGTGTTGACCACGAAGAAAAGTTAAGGTGAATTAAGGTTTAGCATATTACTTATAAATTTAATATATGTCTAACTATTAATATGTTAATAGTACTTTTAATTAAATCAGAATTTTGATAATATAATCAAGCGAGGTGATCGATGAAGGAGCAAACAAATAAAATTAATTAAGGCAAGCTCTACTTATATGTTGTTTAATTTAGAGGATATATTAATACCTAAAATAACGCGTAATTGAAAATTACTTGAGACTTTTGAGTAAGAGAAATCATGAAGTGATAAAATATTTTGTTTGCATTTTTAGACACTAAATAGAGGACATCAAGGATTAAGTGGCTTCAATAATCATTCAAACCGGTCAGTTGAATACTTGTACTTTTAAATTATAGCAATATTGATTTCTCCTATGTTTTATTCGCTCTATGACGTGCTTAGATAGATTTTACTGGCTCTTCAATTTCATTTTGATCATATCAAGTATATGTCACTGATATTTGTATGTTATTTGAATGCATAGTTCAGGCTATTGGATAGTATGATAAGAATGAAATTTATTATTTTGATTTCTTGCATATGCATGATTAGTAATGCGAAGATATTTGTGTTCGTTAATGGAAAATGATATTAATATTGAAGTATCTTAAATGATATAATTTTTAGAAGATGCTCCTGTAAGGGGTGTATAAAGACTAAAATGCTATTAAAATATCAATGATATAGTAAAATATAGTGATCCTTTACAATCAACTTGAATGATTATGTTAGTACAAACCGTCAAATACTCTTATATTCTTACACAATTTAACTAGCTAGAGGTTAGTTGAAATTATCAAAATCTACTCCAAACTTGAGAGTGGCGGCACCTAGCACCCCTATGCACATACCACTCACATGCACCACTTCCTAGCACTCACACGTGCTTAGAGTGCACAACCCTCACGCACACTGCTCGCAAATGTGCCAATGTGCACTATGGATGTTTGATGTTACTTGTGCTAGATAGACCCAGTGCCATGTTTGCGCGGTTCCAAGGCGCCAGACCCAATTGCACTCTCGGGTTTGAGCAAATTTTGATATTTTCCACCCACCATTAGCAAAAATTTTGATAGATTAAACCAGAGTTATAAATTATCAAATGCTGTGTTTTTCCAGTACAAACATGTTTGTGTAGCAAAGCTGAGAATACTAATTTGTGAGGAAATTGCCATCGAAGCTGGGCTTGAGTGGTATACGCTTGTCATGAAAAGAGAGCAGATGGAGTACCTATAAGAGTTGAGGGAAAAGCCCGAAGAAAATTAGATGGTAAATTAAAATTTACTTGGTTATAAGTCGTTAAAAATTAGTTACATTAAGATTTTTGTGAATGCTTCTTTTAACTTGAAATGGTGTCGATATCTTACAAAGCAAAATCTGGATGCATAGGATCAGTGTGAGAGTAGATTTTTTTTTCTCTTTATTCCTGACTAAAGAAGCCTATTATTTTCTTTATATCATAAGTTATAAAGCTTAATGGATGAATATTTATATTTGATGACCTAACCACCTATTTTTGCAGGTCAGTGGAATGCCAACATTCTGCATCCCTATTGAAGATGGTGGCATTGGTTTTGATTACCGCCTTCATATGGCGATTCCTGATAAATGGATCGAAATTCTTAAGTGAGTTAATTTTTTCAGTATTTTAAAACTGTATTCCATGGCTGTTATCTGGATGTTTCTTATTTAACTCATGATTAACTGTAATGTTGAAATAAGAGTTGTGGTTTTATTTTTTGGTTGTTTATGCATCTTATGATGGTCATTGTCTAAATGTTTCTTATTTATATATTTAGCTGTGATGACTATTAGAAAATTTATTTTTATGGACAATGATTTTCAGTCTTATTGCATTGGCAAAATGTCTACATGATGTATTTTTTTGCAAAAAAAATCACATTAATATTTTCTCACTTTTTTGTGTTTGCATGATGTAGATGATAGTAGAATTCTTTAATTAATTTTTTGTTATGATTGAATAAAAAAACATTTTGTACACTTGAAATATACTTTTGCATAAGGGCAGACTTTTGTATGAATCCTACACAGACCCATCTGGCCAAATGTTGTATGATTCGTACTTTTGTATGAATCCAACACAGACCCATCTGGCCAAATGTTGTATGATTCGTCAATTACATTCTTCGCAGACTGATCAGTTGAGCTCAATGGAACTCGCTTGCCTAGTTTGATGTATACTCGCTATTCTGTTACAAGAAAGACTCGATCACCAAGCTCGTGGAGAACTCACCAAACACACTTGTTGAACAGATTGAACCCTAGCATATTCCCCAAGCCCTTAAGTTACTTTATAACTTTCACCAAAATGAATCAACAACTTGCTCTCAATCAACTGATTGTTTACTAGTTTAAGCTCCCTCAAGTTATATGCCTATTCTATTTCACGTTGAGTAACTGATGGTCTCGCTTTATGCTTTTTGCTCATGTATCTCATTATGAGCGATTGATTTATTACCTCTATTTGGTCATCTATTTGTGGGAGATTCTAAGCTGAACTGAATTGAAGCTTTGTTTCAAGCTTACTCCGTAGGGTCCTCCAAGAATGGCTTACAATTTTAACATCTTTATTTGACATGATGGTCCTAGCTTACCATGAAGGCGGACTATCTCTTTCAAATATAAGTGTGCAATGTGTGACACATCCGTCGACTTATAGAAAGAAACAAAATGTGTAATCTTGGAGAAGTCTGCCACTACCATAATAAAATCCTTGCTCTTTTGTGTTCAAGGTAAGCACACTGAAAAATTCATTCTCATATCCAACCAGGGTGCTTATGGAACAGGAAGGTGAGTGTATAGGCCTATATTTTGCTCATTGAGTCATAGCGAAATGATATAACATGCACTGTCTGACATGTCACTATATCTCGTACCAATTTGGGCCAATAGTTCTCTTTTATTAAAAAAAAGTCTTGTCTCTTTCAAAATGCCAGATCCTCCCCCCATTGTGACACTTTTATAAAATGGTATCCCTAAGTGAACTTCAAGGAATGCACAGACTGTTCTGAAAAAGTAGATATCTATCAGATCTGTGATATTGCTCATACGTTCTCTTATGACAACAAGTCCAAATATTCTAAAAATCTTCTTTGGTGAAATACAAATCCTTGAAAACTTTAAAACCAACTATTTCAGACTTCATTGTATTGATTAATAAATGATGACGGCTTAGTGCATGTGTTATTTTATCTTGACTCCCTATCTTATGCTTGAGCACAAAATGAAACGAGGATATAAATTTCACCCACGAGGCATCTCAACCCTTTAGCTTACACTAACTGTTCAAGAATCTCAAAGTCTCGTGGTCAGTCTAGAGAGTAAATTCTTTCACAAGCAGATAATGGTTTCGGTGACTGAGGGCTTTCATAATTACATAAAATTTTGTCTTAGATAGAATACTTTTTCATGGACTTTCAATTTCTTACTAAAGAAGACAATATGGTGTCCTGTTGTTTCATTAGAGTATGAAAACTTAGAATTTGTCGAGTTTTGATACCAAATGAAATTATTTTAGGTTTTGTAGTAGGTGTTTAGGAAATGGATCTAGTAGGGTGATGTTGTGGAATAGCAAAAGAATGGGGATATGAGGTTGATGATGTTTGAAAGGGAATAGAAGATGTTTGTCAGCCATCCAGGCTAAAAACAACGGAGAGAACAATGAAACAATGACTCTTACAAGACATAGTTATTGAGGGAGATCCATCTCATGTTCCTAAACAAACTACAGACATGCTACTTTCAAAAGGAAGATGGTAGAATACTTCTTGGGACATAAATAAGAGAATACAATATTTAAATCCACAAAAATAAAACAAAGTTCTTCAAAAACGGGGAATAACTTATAAATAATCTCAAGCTAACATTACTTTAATTCTAATTCATAAATAAAAAATAGGCCCCACAAGTACTGATTAGCAATAGGAGGGAATTTTCGTTTTTGGTTCGAAATGGGACAAAATCTCATCCAATGCCGCGATTTCTCTTAAACATTTGTGTGTTCGCTTTAGTTCTGGTTTAATTGCCAAAATGATGATTTGGGATCCAATATTCTCAATGATGAGGTAAGCATGAATCTATGCTAAGAATCATAAGAGATGCACAAAAAATTGTAGAGGAAGCGAATAGAGAAGTAGCAGTAAGGTAGATTTCAATGAATATGGGGAACAAAAATTCGTGAATGCCAAGTAACTTATGGAGATGAAAGGGAAACTTAAAAGGATGATACAAGAAAATCTCGAAATCATTACCTAAGGATCCTTGTGATTTTACAATTAGGAGAGATTTTGGTGCAGATCCGTTTCCTTCCATCAAGGAAGGAACCTACTGCCCCAACTTGGAAGAAGAAGATTCACCCCCTCACCTTGCCAGCTTGAGAGACAACTAGAGAAGAAGACAAAGTCCTCGAATACCTTCTTTAGAGTGATCATAGATGCCAAGCCCCCTTTTAAATTCAAAATTCCTCACTTGGACTCGTACAATAGGTGAATTGATATTCTTGATCTTGTCACTTTGAATCTATTATTTCATTGTTAGATATCAATGACAAGTTGAAGTGTGTTGTTTTTCATAACCTTCAAAGAATTTACCATCATATGGTTTTCCTACCATTCGCGTGGGACGATCATATCATTGAACTCGCTCAAAGGAATATTCATTACTCAATTTTTCAATACCTGATTCGCCTAAAAATGTACTATTTTTTATGTTATATTTTATAATGATATTACACTTTAAAGGTATATTTTCTTGTGTTTTTGGTTGTAGGTACATCAAATTGAAGAATTTGGAGTGATTAGAGCAAAATGAACAAAAATGGACCAAAACGGAGCAAACCGGAGCAAATCGGGTCAAATCGGGGCACACTACGGGTCGAGCCGGGGCACACCGGAGTCATGGGGACCAAAACCGGACACTTAAGTGTTTGTTTCTGGCACTTAACCACCCAAAACGGTGCTTAGGCGCCACCCAGACAGAGAGGAGGGTGCTTAAGCGCCCAAAATCGGCGCTTATCGTCAAAATCGTCAAAAACGGTTTTCAACATAATATATATCGGATTTGGACGATTTTTGAAGCGGTGTTTCGTGTGTCTCTTGAGGAATTCGTTGCAAATGATAAAAGTGACTTTCTCGAAGGATTTGGGGTGGTTATAAGGAGTTTTGAAGAGGCACTTAAGACACCATTTGGAAGATTCAATGAATATGGACATTTTTAAAGACACACGTAAGAATCTCTTGGGCAATTATAAATAAGGCTTGGAAATGCTTTTAAAAGGAATTCTTGGACTCTTGAATCAATTGGAAGAGGAGAAGAAGGCTTGGAGAAGAAGAAGAAGGCTTGGGCGTGAGCCCCAAGTGGGGTGACAAGGTGAGAGAGAAAGAGCAAGAGTGAGAGATTTCTTCTTTTTTTTTCACTTTGTTCTTGGAGAAGATTGTAAGGAGATTGTTTTTGCTATACAAAGAGAGTTTGATTTCCATAAAAGATAAGTATTTTCATTATATTTTGATTTGAATTTAGTACTTTGTTTGTATGGTTTCAAAGTCTTGTTCAATGAAAAGTTTTTGATGTTTCTCCATGTGTAGTGAGTAGTTTTCTTCACTCTTCCCTCTTGTAATGAATTAATATGAATGTGTAGGATATATAATTGAGTAGAGTGAGAATATATTGTGATGATTTTCCTTTGTTTTTCATTTACATGTAAACTTGATCAACTTGCATGTTAAAATCTGTTGTGAGAACATGTAAGATCCGTGATGGTATTGTCTCAATCAACTGTGGTAGAATCACATGAGATTGTATGGATGAGAATTTAGTCCATATAGTTGAGTGCAAATAAATAAGGAAATAATCTTTAATAGGTGTAGAATTAGACGACTTTAGAGTGATAGACTAAAGCCCCCTAATTTGGTCCATTGTTTTAGGTTTTAATATGAGATGTTAGCCTCCAGGTGGAGGGATAAGAGGGAACTCTAGAGTGAGAGCTAGTATCTTTTCTGCCTAGCCCGTCTTCAGAACTATTCAAACTTTAGATTAACCAATGTTCTTTATAGCATCTCTAATAAGAGTAAAGAATATAATTGCTCATATTTGTCACAATCTCTCTCACTACTTGTTTTACATTTATTGACCTTTATAAGAGAAGCATAAAACTGAGTGTTGCCGAGATGAGAATGATTAAGTGGATGAGTGGCTTTACACTTAGAGACAAAATGTGAAATGAATTAGAGAGTCTTAGATGGTTTGGTCACACTAAACATTAATCATCTGATGATCTAATTAGGAAAGTGGATGTTTTAGATTCGATATATGTTAAAAAAGGCAGAGGTAGATCTAGAAAGACTTGAGCATATTGTATTAAAAATGATTTAATTTACTAGAATTAAATGAAAATATGACACAAAATAGGACACAATAGAGAAAAAAAGATTAATGTAGCCGACCCCTCTTTGTGGGATAAAGGCTTGTTGTTGTTGTGTTGTAAAAACCTTCTTCTTTAATTTAATGGCAGCTAGATTTACCTTCCGTCAGGTGGAATATCTTTGTACTCAAATATCCATTCTACTATATATAGCCACTCAATGAACTTGTCTGAATCCAAGAAACTG